TTCAGTGCTGCAGGGGAAGACTGAGAGCCCCACGAAATCCCCTCCCCTCTCCTCACCGACCGACCCTCTTCAAACAATCTCTTCACAGCCGATTTTGCAAAGCCCCCTTTTAATAAGTACAAACCCTTCATCTGGAGCCTAAAATCCTTGAACTTTGCCCCCTTCTCTGACACAATATTTAATTAAATCACAAGAACTTCCCCATAAAGGGCAGGAGGTCCCAAACCTCACTGGGTTCTCTTATCCCAACAAAATCCCCCTTCCTGCCCACTCCCACCCCAGTGGGGTTCAGAAGAAGACAGCTGCTGTGGGGACACTTAGACCCCTCTTCTTCCCATACCCCCTTCACACGCAGTGATACTACAGGTAGGGTGACCAGATGTCCCAATTTTATAGGGACAGTCCCAACTTTTGGGTCTTTTTCTTATATAGGCTCCTATTACCCCCAACCCTGTCCCAATTTTTCACACTTGCTGTCTGGTTACCCTAACTACATGTGCCCGATGCTAAATGGCTTTGAGGGAAGATGGCCACAGATTCACTGCTGGGCACATTCTTGAAGGAGACACCCCGACATGTTCCCCAAGGCCAGGCCTGGGGCTGTCTCTGCAAACGAGTGGGAGCTGCTGCTTCAGCCTCTCTGCTCACGGGCACAGGTGAGATTTCTGTGGCCGGTGCTTTCAAGGCACCAGCAATCATGTCACGCTAACTGGGCCCGATTCTGCGGTCGTGCCGGTGTCGATCAGGAGTGACTCCCTTGAAGCCAGTGGAGTTACCCCTGGGGTAGAAGCAGAGTCAGTGAGATGAGGATCAGGCCCACTAGCACCTGCCCCCCCTCTTGTTATTAAAGCTCTGACACTGCTGTGGCTGGTGAGGGCAAAATCTCTGGTGTACTGTCATCCCCGGGCCCACAGGGGTAAGGGGAGGGGGCGGGCGGGGTTTCATCTGCTTGTTCCCAAGACAGTGCCAGCCTGGAAGCATAGCACCTGTGCCCAGAACACCGGGAGGCAGGTTGTTTCAGGAGACAGTGACTACGTCAATGAGCGGAGCAGCCCCCCCCCCCATAAAGCCAGTGGCCTGGAAATTCCTTCCCATGGGACAGCGACACTTCCCAGCTGCTGCAAAGGTTTGAGATTAACCCCTTCACCGCCACTGCTCAGGCCAGGTACTCTGTGCACCACGGGCCTGAGCCAAAGCCCTCTGAAGTCAAGGGGAGTCTTTCACCAGTTTTTGGGTTGGCCTCAAATCAGCCTGAATGGGAACTCCCTGGGGCACTGGCATCACGAGAAAAATGGTCACCACGCTGGGGCTGCATCCAGGGCCAGAGATCAGCCGACTTTATGGGCATCTTGAACCTCTTGCTTGTGATCCAGCTGCCCATTGTCCTGTTATTTTCTGACTGATATTGACACAGGCCCAGACCCTCAAAGATATTTAGGTGTCTAACTTCCATTGAAATCAAGGGTCTAATAAGCAAACTTCCCCTGCATGGGGTTTGAGCTAGGAACCTGTTACCTGTGCTCTCCCTTCACATCAGGATGGCCCATGCCATGCCTTGGCTTGTGGCCTGCGTACCTCCACCGGAGCTGAGGGAATTAGATGAGGCATAAGTCAGGGCAACCGCCAGCCCAGGCCACAAGCCAATAGAGAAAATTATCCCCTAAATAAAGAGAAAATGAGAGGGACAAGGACAGTTGTTTGTTTGCCACTTCTTTGGCCCAGTCCCCCTTGGGCTGGATTTCATGTTTGTTGGCATGATGTCAAATGAGCTGAGGTTAGAACATCGTTCCCGAGCTTTCAACCCACTTTTGACCTACAGTCAAAACGGTGTTTAAAATCTTTGAAGCTGCACTGGTTTGAAACTGCGTTTTAAACAACCTCAGCAAAAAAGGTTTGAGTCCTTTGTGTGGCTGGACAGAGACTATCATCACATGCACCAGGCAAGGGTCTGCGGCTCACCCTCCATCATGCTGGCAGCATGGCCCCATCTCTGATTAATTCATTTACACATGCACCATTCTTGCTTTTCCAGCACCTAAGCTGAAGTCCTTTGCCAAGCAGTAGCCATTAATCCAGATCCAATTTAGTTGTTCACATGTCATAACATCTCTGGATGTGTTGAACCCAGCATCAGACTTTTCCCACTTGGCTTTTGAACCAGTTCGCCATGGCTTTACTGCTCAATATTTCAATCAAAATGTTAGCCAGGAAGTTGCAAAGTCCTTCTCCTCCTCAAACTCTGTTCCAGGTAGGGGGCCACTGCTCTCATAGCTCAGGGAACGTCACTGACCAGCCAGGAGGTTCCCGAACACTAGTCTGAGGTGGAGGGACAAGGCCTTAGATGACCCTAGTGGGTTTGTGGTGATGTCCAGCAAGGCCTGTGATAGGTCAGAGATTAGAATCCAACAGCTCCCCTGGCTACCAGCCTTTCTGTGGACCTGTACGCTGGCCCTGTCTAATTGCCAGATACGGATGGATGAGACCATTTGCACTTCCTTCCTTTTCTAGTTTACTCCAACCCAAGCCGCAAAACACATCACTGCAATCACCTGTGGCTTAGGCGGGAACCTTCAGTTTAACCCTTACAGTGCTGGCATTTTTCAGAGCGATGGATATGAGGTAATCACTTCCTCCTGGGATTCTCGCATGCATGGCTCTTCCCTTTGCCTGACCCTGCCCAACCCCAGGCACCTGGCTTGGAAAACATGGCCAGCCCCCAGCCCGCAGCAAGGCACTGGCTGAGCCTCAGCCAGGGCATGATGCAGCCCCGTGGCGATCCCTGCAGTCCTGCGTAACCTGGCAGCGGGCACCTTAGCAAGTGGCACCCACAGATTCTCCGATTACCCCCTCTGAGCTGGGTCCCCGTGTCCCCGTGGTGGATTCTGCATGGGAGGGACTAGGGGTGCCGTTTCAGACCAGATGAGTGCACAGTGCCTTGGTTAGACACCGCCAAGTGCCCCTTCCCAACCAGGAGCATAAGCAGGGCCTTAATACTAACACTTTGGGGCAGTCGATCCCAAAGGGGGTTTCCAGAGATCACTGAAATGCAGCCACTGCTGGGGAGTTGACTCTGGTCTCCCACTCGCATTCCGCCTGCCTTTCTTCCCTTCCTCTCCTAAACGGCCCAGTGTTGCTGTGAGCTGTTCAAAAGCTGCCTCCTTCCACCCCCAGAGGTGGCTGCATTTCAGAGTCCCGGCTAGATCCCTTGTACAGGCTCTTTTGGAAAGAAAAGTAAGTTCTAGCCAGAAAATAATATATTGGGCCAAATTCTGATCTCAGTTACACCGCTGCTGAAGGGATGCCCTGGAGTGCCTATCCTCACCGGGAACCCTCCAATCTCCTTTATCTGCCCACCACACAAAACTCCCCAGGAGCAAACCCTTGAGCTGAAAGCAGCTCAAACCATCTCAGCCTGGCAACGAGGACGGCAAAAGGACCCGAGATCCTCCCCTTCCAGTTCCTTGTTCACAGGGCCGGTGTGTGCCCAGTAGCCCCGGGGAGGGATGGGCCCTGTCTCCCTGCGCTCAGCCGGGTGGGGGGCGCAGGCCTGGCCCCAGACACGGCTGCCAGCGATGGATCCCCGCTGAGTAATCAGCGCCCCCCAGCTAGCTTCTCCCGGGGCAAAGGGACCGGCTCTGCCGGCTAGCACCTGTCCTGGCCCAGCCCCGCCTGCCTCCTGGCTGTGCGGCGGGGACCGGGCGGCTCCCCCCGGCCCTAGCGATGCCCCGGGGTGCTCCGTGGCGGCGCCCTGGGAGAACGCGAGCCCGAGCCGGGGTCCGAGCCTAGCGCCCGGGGCTCCGTCCCTGCACCGCGCGGGCCCCCGACAGCCCCCGGAGCGAGCGCCTGGCGCCGGGGAGCAGGGGCAGCCGCCCGCCGCGGCTCAGCCCTCCTGCAACCCTGCCCTCGAGCGGCCCGTGCCCCCTTCCGCCCAGTCGCTCCGCTCCCCGCCTGGGGCAGCCTGGGGGCTCCTGCCCCACTCGCTCGGAGAGGCTGGGGAGTGAAGCCCGGGGTGTCGGGGAGCTCGCTGCACCCCACCGCGCGCCCAGCCCCCAGCGGAACCGCAGCGCGGGGGGAGCGGCGCCCAAGCCAAAGAAGCCCCGGCAGGAAAGACAGTGCCCGGTACCAGGGGCTCCCCACACGCCCGATTTGGTGCGTCGCAAGTCCGGTGCTGGGTCCAAGCGGGGGGGCGCAAACCCCTCTGCCAGCTCGGGACAGGCGCCAGAGCTAGTCACTGCGGAGCGGGCTCAGCCCCGGCAGCCCCCGCTCCCTGGCCCGTGCAGATACTGGAGCAAAGGGATCAGCTGAGACCAGCTGCGGGGGGGGGGGCACCAGGGGTCCGGGTCTCTCCAAAGCCCCAGCCTCAAATTGCAACCTCCTGGCAGGTGAGCGCTGTAAGGGGGAAGCCCCCAAAGCGGGGCAGGCAGCCTCTGGGGCGGCGGGGGGGGGGGCAAACTGGGAGCTCCCCCCCCATGTCAAAAAACACTTGTCTGGAGCCGCCAGATTTCCGCCTTTTCTTTTTTTTTTTTAATGAAAAGCTCCAAATGAGAAGCAGATTGCTCGCGCCAGGCTGGCCTTCCCCAGGAGCGGGCTGGGGGCTGGGGGCTGGGGGCTGGGGCTGGCCTTCCCCAGGAGCGGGCTGGGGGCTGGGGCTGGCCAGCGGCTGCCCTGGTCCTTTGGGCTCCCCCGTCGGCTCTGCCCCTGTTCTCCGCTCAGCGCCCGGCCGCGCTCCCAGCCCGCAAGCGCCACGGCTCGCAAAGGCAGCAGAGACCCCCCCCACAAAGCCCCCCCCCCATGCAATCCCAGTGCTGCCTGCCCAAGGGGCCGGAGCCCCCAGGATCCCAATGGAAAGGGCTGGGGGGGGAGGGTTACTTTCTGAAAGGCCAATTCTGCCCGAAAAAAGCGAGCCCCCCCTCCTCCCCCCCCCGCGATGTGTCATTTGTTCCTGCCAAGTGAGACCAAGCCGAGATCCCTGCTATTGTTAAGCAGGGGGCTGGATTGGACCTGGCTGCGCCGATGACATCACCGGGCAGGTTGGGTTATAAATGAATGAAGGAGAAGCCCCGAGCGCGAGCTCCGCACTTGCAAGGAGGCAGCCGGGACCGACTCGCAGCGCGGAACTTTGGCTCGGGTTTTGCGGTGACTCCCTCTCCCAGCGGGGCCGCGGTGACCCCCGGGCCCTGCCCCCCAGGATGCGGATCTCACACTTCCTGGCTTGTGGACTTTCCCTGGCTCTGCTGTCCGTCAGGCTGGAGGCGAGACCGGCAACTCAGCCCCAGCAGAAGGTAAGCGGGGGGCTGCTCCGGGCAGGGACGGGACAGGGGCCCCTCCTCCCCACCGCGCTGCGGGGGGGATCCCCCGGAGGGAGAGGCGAGGAGTTAGGGGAACTTTGACAACGGGGAGGGGGTGGCTCCTTTGCCCCCTTAGCCCTGCTTGCTGCTTCTCCGCTGCTAGGGCTTCTGGGTTAGGAGGGGGCAGATCTCCCCCATCCCAACCCCGCATCCCCAGCCGCCCCCCCCATCCCGCTGCAGCCTCCCACTCTCTGGAGCTCCCCGCCACTTAACCCTTTTGCTGCTGCTGGGTCTCTGGGTCTCCCTGCGTGTCCCCCGGTCAAGGAGCCCCAGGCTCTGGGACATCAGCGGGGACAGGGCTGCTCCGGCGGTGGCCGGGCTGAACTCTGCTTTCCAGCCCCCTGGTGCTGAGGGACCAGGGCGCTGGGAGCGGAGCCGCCCCTCCCTGAGCCGCGAGTCCCCCGGTTTGAGCCCTGACCTGCGGGGTGTCACTGTCCAGCCGCCGGGGCGGGGGGTGTCAGGGGCGGGTGGGCTGCGGGGCGGGCGGCAGGTGCAGAACGGGCCCGAAGTGCAGATTGCAGGAGGCAGCAGCAGCTTGCAGGGGGCTGGGACCCGACGGGGTCGGGACTCGGGCGCAAGGGAAAAGCTCGGGGAGGGGGCACCGGGTTCAGCTGCACCAACCTACGGGTGGGCGGGGAGATGCCCGAGAGAACCGGGCTCCTGGGGAGCGTGCAAGCCGGCGGGGGGGGTGGGGGGGCACCGAGTCCCCTAGCGCCACGTTTCCCGGCTCTGGGAACTAGTAGTGGGGGGGTCCCTGGGGCTGGAATCGGGGCCGGGTTGGGCTCAGGGGGTTGGAATCGGGGCCGTGGGGCTCGGGACGGGCTCGGGGGGTTGGAACCGGGGCTCGGGGGGCTGCAACCGGGGCCGGGGGGGGGGGGTTGGCACTGGGGGGCTCGGGACGGGCTGGGGGGGGTGGAACCAGGGCCGAGGGGCTCGGGGGCTTGGAACCGGGGCCGGAGGGCTGGAATCGGGGCCGGGATGGGCTCAGGGCGTTGGAATCGGGCCTGTGGGGCTCGGGACGGGCTCAGGGGCTGCAACCGGGGCCGGGGGGGGGGGTTGGCACCGGGGGGCTCGGGACGGGCTGGGGGGGTGGAACCAGGGCCGAGGGGCTCGGGGGGTTGGAACCGGGGCCGGAGGGCTGGAATCGGGGCCGGGTTGGGCTCAGGGGGTTGGAATCGGGGCCGTGGGGCTCGGGACGGGCTCGGGGGGTTGGAACCGGGGCTCGGGGGGCTGCAACCAGGGCCGGGGGGGGGTTGGCACCGGGGGGCTCGGGACGGGCTGGGGGGGTGGAACCAGGGCCGAGGGGCTCGGGGGGTTGGAACCGGGGCCGGAGGGCTGGAATCGGGGCCGGGATGGGCTCAGGGTGTTGGAATCGGGGCTGTGGGGCTCGGGACGGGCTCAGGGGTTGGAACCGGGGCCGGGGGGGGGGTTGGAACCGGGGGGCTCGGGACGGGCTCGGGACGGGGGGGGTGGAACCGGGGCCGGGGGTCTGTGCTGCTTTCACGGCATCCTGCCCCTGCGCTCTGCCCTGCAGCCCCCCCGGAGCTCGCCGGGACACGAGCTGGCGGAGAGCCCGGCCGCGGGCCGCGAGCGAGGGGAGACGGCGGGCGGCGGCGGCGGCGGCCGGGGCTCGGGCTCGCGGCTGCTGCGGGAGCTGCGCGCGGACACCAAGTCCCGGGCCGCCTGGGCCCGGCTGCTGCGCGACTACCCCGGCACGCGGCGGCACAAGGGCGTCAGCAAGAAGGGCCTGTCCAAGGGCTGCTTCGGCCTCAAGCTGGACCGGATCGGCTCCATGAGCGGCCTGGGCTGCTAGAGCGGCGACCCCTGGCGGCGGTGAGTGCCCCCTGCAGCCGCGCCCCCGTGCACCTGCCACGCACCGGCCGCGGGGTCCCCGCAGCCCCCTGGGTCTAGCTGCCTCCCCCGCCCCCCCCCTCATAGCCTCTGAATGCCCCAGTCCCGCCCCCCCCCACTGTCTGCCCTGCCCTGGGCCGGCCAAAGCCACCAGGCTGGCTCAGACCAAGGGTCCATCCGGACCAGTGACCTGGCTCTTACAGGGGCCAGATGCTTCAGAGGGAATGCAGAGATCAGAGCCCTGGAGTGAGCCAGTCCCAGCTTCTGGCCCTCAGAGGTGTAGGGACACCCCAGAGCACTGAATCCTCTGGGAAGGGCTGCAGGCCCGGACCCTGTATCAATACAGGGAGTGTCTCTCCCATGGCAGAAATGCAGCCACCGCTGGGGCAGGGTGGTGGGAACCAGCAGGACGCACAATGGGGCAGGGTGAAACAAGGCCCAGGGGCCACACAGCGGATTGCAGTCACCCTTATATTCAATAGGGACGAGAGCCTAGGGAAGCTCCAGATTCCAGTGTGTGATGCCTGGTTTTGGTCTGGCAAGGCCATTAGGGTCAAGCTACAGCCTCACCTCCTTGGAACTATCAAAGGTGTTTGCCAGACGCCCATCCCCATAGCCTCCGTGCTCCTCTCTGCAGGCAGCCCCCTCTCTCTAAGGTCCGAGCACGGCTGGGGGGCACGTTACACAATTCGGTTGGGTTCACCCGAACAACTGGTCTCTGCAGAGAAGCAAAAAAAAAAAAAAGATCTGAGAAGACAAACTAGAAAATAGCTGGGAGAGTAAAAAACACTTTTTCAATTTGTACAGAATGCCCCCACCCCAAAACGTGCCAGGGATCAAAGTCCCAGACTGAAAATCAGGCTGCTCAAAGGGCAGCTTAGCTGAAGTCCTGCCTCTTTGACCCTTTACTACGAGTCAAGATGTGACTCTTCAACTGTGCAAGTTGACTCCTTTGCCTGTTCTAGTGCGTTCTTTAGGGCCCATCATGGTGGCATCTAGACGCTTGGAACTATGAGCATGTTGGGGAGAGCGGGTTCGCCTACAGTCGCACGACAGTAGTGCTTGGGGCTGGGGCTGCTGCAAGCAGCTGTCTTTTTAAGAAGGGTATTGCCCAGTCTGCCCAATTTCTTGTTCTTCTTTTAGGTGCGTTGCCTATCTCCAGCTAAACACTCCTGGGCATTCACTTACCATCACTGCCACTGGGTGGTTGGGGGTGCTATGGGGCTGGGTGCCGTCGTAATGAGCACAGAGTCATACCATGGTTAGGACAAGCCTTTCCAACGCCAACCCTCCGCGGAGGTAACCACAGGGTGCTCTCTCTTCTGGTGGGGCTGTTGATTTAATCTGTCCTGGGTGAGACCAGACAGCGGAACATGGATTTTAGACAAGACTCTGTCTCTCTCTGTGTCCAAGAGGGAGGCAACCTGAAAGCATGAAATGACATTTGTGCTGTCCCAGGCTTCTGATTCTGCGCTCCCTCTGGTATAACGCCACTGGCTTCAGTGGAATTACTCCTGCTTCAAGGAGAGCAGACATCCAGGTACTTGGCCATGCAGCTTAGGTGTGCTTGTCGATCCTTTATTTTGGGGTGCATGGGACTGTAATATATAGTGATAAATTCCTCCGATTTCAAAGGACACCCGGTCCCAAATCTATGGGACTGGACACTTTTTCATGCAACCTCCCCCAGATTTGGCTTGCACCTGTTTACTCCTAAATTGGAGGCGATGGGTAATTATAATTAGCACTGCTACTGTTCTAAAGATTTGGCACAAACTTGGAAGATTATATATACACACACATACATGCCTGCGAATCTACTGTATGTACAGTACATAGCAACAATGTCTATTGCTTGGAATTGCTGCACCTGCCCTGATTTAACAACCAAAATACTGCAGGGATGGTCCAGCCATGACAGTGTCTATCAGCGTTTCTGCTATGGTTGGGTCCACTGCTGTGGGATACGTTAGTGTAGCTTTGTCAGGGTGTTCACAGCAGGCACCAGAGGGACCGTGCGCTGTATAGACCTAGATTCCCAAGGAGTACCTGGCAGGACTGGTACTAACTGGACAGTTAATTAGTCTGTGAACTGTACAGATTAAGTCCTATGGTTGGTATTTGCTTATATGCCATGCCCCCCTCTTGTAGTAAGAGCAGAAAGTCAGAAGATGGTATTGATGCTTTACAATCCTAGAAAACTACCCCGTATACTCCCCTGCTGTAAATCCCCTCCCCCCCAGCAACCTCACTGTATGAGCTCTTCACCACATCTATGTATCAAAACCCTGCCATTGATAAATGCCTCCTAGACAGTTAAGTAGAGATTTCCCCAGGCTTCTTTCCTATTTAAACTTGACCCCTGAGGAGTCCATGGAAACTAACAGAGTCCGCTTCTAAGTATAGCTGCAGAGTCACAGGTGTCTTGCATAAATGCCGTGTGCTCCATGAGCTCTGTGTAAGTTCCAAAGTTCGTCTCTTTCACCAGCAGAAGCTGATCCAATAAAAGACATTACTCACCCAGTGTGTGCGCCCAATGAAGGCCGAGGGGGCTCGGACGGGTAGCAAGATATTTTCTGTAGCTTAGGAGAGTGAAGGATGCCTTGGCTGAAGGGTTTGCTCTGAGCCATATTCCCATTCATTTATTTTGAAACATTCGTTTTACATTTGAGTCTTCTCCAGTTCATTTACACAGCTCCTGAGAGATCCCTTTGCCAGCCCATCCTTGGTATCTGGTCAGGTATTAGACTGTGAAAAGTCTCCAGGCAAAGTTGCATTGTAAACATTTCCCATGTGAAACAGAATTTTTACTTTCAAGCAATGACCACATTGATCAGCAATAACAGGATAGCCTTTGGGATACTAGTGGTTTCCCGACTGCTGGCTGACTGTGTGAGTATACTGTATGTTCCCTAAGCAGCGTCCAAGGGCTCTGATTCTGGCTCTGGTTCTTTAAGCAGGCAACATGCAGATACACTAAGCATTTGGGGTCACTCTTGTTTGCAATCCAAGCCACGAGTTATTTCTTTCTGCAGGGCCACAGGTGTGTCAGGCACTTTACACACAAGCACAATAGGCTAAGTTCCTGCAATAATCTAGCTGGGCACAGATCCACCTCTGGTCTAAATTGGCATAGTTCTGTTGAAATCAACGAAGCATGACCTATTTGCATCTGCTAAGGATCTGCCTCATAGGCCATGGCCGTTTGCAAAACAAGGCAAATGGAAAAATTTAGAGATTCAGCCCTAACACAAGAAATCAGAGACACTTTTAATTTCAAACTGGCATTTTGAAGTCTGAACTTGAGAGGCCAGGTGTATATGTCTGTGTGTGCCCAAACATCAGACACCAGTAACTTTTATGCTTGCTAGTGGGTCCGCACATAAGAAACAGCAACAGGGGCTCGGCTCTTGTTGTCCCACCATCTGCTGTTGCCCGGAGAGTGATCTAAAGGGATTATCCAGGCAGGGAGCAGGCCAGCTCAGGACTTGGGAAAGAAAACCCCCACCTGGAGCTCTGAAATGTACATTTGTACCAAACTCTCCCCAGAGAGAAAATTCTTTTATAGCTGCACATCAAGGGGCCTGCTCTGCTGCCCCAGTGGCACAGCCTGAGAACACAGGGCACGAGCCTGGCGACAAGACCCAGCAGCATGCCACAGGCCAGATCTGTGCCACAGGCCAGATCTCTGCCACCTGCTCTGAGTGGTGGTGGAAGCCCTGCGCAGAGGCCTTCCCGTGCACACTGATTTAGCTGCTAGATGCAGCCCCTTTGTGTCTGTAAAGTTCTTTGCAGGTGGGAAGGACTAGCTCTGCATCAGGCACACAGCAACGTGGCTGTACAGATAACCGACAGCTCCAATCTGCAGGGCCTTATACGGCTTTTAATTAGGGAAAACTCCAACTGGAGTCAGGACAGCTGCAGGCAGCAACACAGGATTCAGCCTTTAAGTGCTACCAGCAGGGAAGCTGGCGGGCAGCGCTCGGGCAGGCAGATGGCACGCTTGGGGCCTGATCCCACCAGTAGGGCGGCCCCTACTCCCATTCACTTCCCAATGCCAACATCTCTTGGGACTGTTATGGGGGGGCACTATGTGCTGAGGGGAAGCTGTCCACAAAGCAAATACTAATGGGCATTTTCCTGTTCTTGTTTGTTTCAGGGCTTTGAATACATTTCCCCCCCTATGGCCATGTCCGGCCACTCCCCAGCCGACACCTAGAGGAGCAGAGAACACCGGAAATGGGACAGACGACATGGTTGTGTTTTTCTTTTCGGTACGAGGAGTCATGACACCAGCTGTTTCGGTTTTCTTATTTTTTTAAGATTAAAAAGTTCTATCATATATATATATATGTATATATATAAATATATATATATATATATATATACACATATATATATATATATTCTATACAAACATCACCAGGACAAAGGACAGTGCTTTTCCAAAAGACTGATGAAGCCAGCTGTATAACATTGCTGTTTGAAAATCCATGTCACGCATAAATGTATTTATGTTGTAAAGCTATTTATATATTGTTTATAAAGAGATATTTATAAAAATTTTATTTATGTAACTAAATGAAAGGAGTCGAGCAGTGTAACTTTTTTTCCTAAATAGTTGAAAAATGTGTAAAAACCAAAAAACCAAAACAATGTATCATTCCATGTGGCATTTTGTAACCTGTCTTCATTTATTGGATTGAGTCACTTTCTTTAAAGTGCCAGATTAGTTCATTTTAACAGCAGGGAAGCAGTATATTCTTTTTAAGAGCAGAGTGCGAGCGAGCGATTTAGCCTTTGCCCCCTCCCGCAGGGTGCTCAGTGAGGAAATAATTATGGCTCCGATCCTGAAATCATTTAATCAGGGCCCAATCCTGTTGTGAACTCTCAACAGTAGCATGCCCGTGCCTGGGTGCAGCTGCATTAACCTCTGAATTTGTGCAGGGCCCACCCTTGAGGAGTTTATTGCAGAACTAGGGCCTCAGGCAACTTACCCAGTGGGCCAGCTCCTGATCAATGTAAATCTGGAGTAAGTCCATCACTTTCAATTGATTTACTCTGGATTTACATTGGGTAGCAGAGCAGACTCTGGCCTATTGATTTAAATATGGATTTTGCCTCCCTATGGTCTGTAGGACGGAGCCCTTAGTTCATTAAATAATTTGAGATACTCCATAGGTAGATAACCACTGAGTACAGAGCAGGACCCAACACCCACTGAAACTGATGGAAAGCCTGAAATGGGCTTTGGATCAGGCCCATTAGTGTTAGTGGGAAAGAGACCCTGGATGCTGGGTGGCCACTGTTATTCTAAAATGGAGTTGATTATTAAGTGGCTTGTTGATATTCCCTTTCTCGAGCAGATTTATTTCACGGTGCTTAAGACAACAAGCAGACAGACAAATACACGGCGGGCAGCCTGCTAAGGAGTCATGACACAGGTGTTGCTACAGCTTCTTGCTCTGTAAAGTGCATGAAATACTAGAGCATTAAAATGACTCTGAGCTTTAAAGAAAACATAAAGAGGACCAAAAAAACCCCAAGCATAGATCCTGCAGAGAAGCTCCTTGGCCTCAATCTTTGAAGAAGCTTTAGAGAGGAGCAGCAGGCTCCCAGCCATGTGTTTCAGCCAGGCCCAGTGACTGCTCTGACCCAGGTAGCAATGGGCCATGGGCAAAAAGAAAGGCAGCGGACTCAGAGCTATGGAGACCTACAGGCAGAGCGATCCCTCTCCTCAGCCACAGTTTGGCCGGGGGTCACAGAGACCCACAGACAGGGTACTGCCTTTCCTTGCCAGCAGTCAGAGAACTATAGAAACCTACAGCCAGACCCCCTCACTGTAGAAAACAGCTGGCTTGTTGATCTGCTAAGCTTGGAGGATTTTGCCTGTACATGTGACAGCTCACTCAGCAGGGTGCCAATGATCCAAGGAACACTTCTGACTTTGTAAGAGCAAACAGCAACCACGTACCCATCAAGAAGATAGTCAGCATCTGTCCTAAGACAGAGTCTGGCTGGAGGGGGAACATCTGTGTCTGAAAGCCCTTCTAAGACATTGCTGGTTGGGAACCACCACAACCACATAGCATCCTCACCACAGAGTTTTCTATGTAATCACAGATTTGCTGCTATGTTAACTGCATCTCTGCCTTTGTAGACTACATCCAGGTACTGCAGTTCCCAATGTACAGTCTGCAGCCCCTGTGGCCTTCCAGGAAAGAGGGGACCTGCCCAATGCCCTCGTAAAAGGCTCCTTGTTAGAGGAGGATATATTAAACCATACTCCTCACACCAAGACAGCAAATCTCAGGGAAAGCAAGGAACGAACCTGTTAACAGAATGAAGCCCCACCCAGAGTACCAGGGAAGGACAGGGTGATAGACCAGGATGGATGGTGGTACTCATCCATTCCAGGAACAGGCTTACTGTGTATGAAGCTAAAATAGAGACTGTCCAATAGCAGGGCCCTGGCTGGGAATGGGATACGGTTCTCTTGCACCGTTAGATTATTGCTTCAAATCTAGGGACTAAAATGGCACCACCCGATAGCTGTTGGGTGGCCTTCCATGCAATGAGCTGGTGGACCTCAGCCAACATCCCAGCGGACAGGAGGTTCGCAGCACAAAATCCGTTACCCCAGCTGGAACTCACAGGCCCTTTTGTTTGCTGCCTCAGCAGAGAGGCCCAGGCTTAAGTGCACCTCGGAGACTGGAGTCCCCTCTCCTGCAAAGCCATGGCTCCTTCAGAATGGGGCATGAAGCATGCCCTGCTGGGGGTGTAGCACACCCGCTACTGCCCAGGCTGTACGTGTTCAGGAAGGACAGAGAGGCTGCCAGGGCTTTAGGCCAGCTCCTGCCACTAACTCACTAGAACTGATCAGTCCCGAGATTGGGGAGCCAGGCCTCATTAACAGAACACAGCTGAGGGGACACGGATGTCCCGCTGTTAGCTGGGCAGAGGGGAAGGATGGCCCAGTGGTTAGGGTAGGAGCCTAAGACTTGGGACACCCTGGCTCTGCCAGACTTCCTGCGGAACCTTGGGCAAGGCACTGAGGGTTAGGGTGACCAGATGTCCCAGTTTTGTAGGGACAGTCCTGATATTCAGGGCTTTTTCTTATATTAGCACCTATTACCCCGAGCCCCTGTTCCAAGTTTTCACACTCTCTATCTGGTCACCCTACTGAGGCCCTGACCTTCAAATGAGCTTAGGTTCCTAATACCTTTGAGGAGATAGGCCTCAGCTTCCCCATCTGTATAATGGGGATAACAGCACTGCCCTGCCTCCCAGTGTCTGTGAGGGGCTCGGACATCACAGTGCTAGGGGCCAGAGTACCTCAGAGAGATAGTTTACCTGCTCATAGCACCATCTACTGCATAACCAATGAGGTGAATCCAACGGATGGGGGGCAAAAAGAAGGCTGATTTCAGGGAGGCTACCCGGGCTCCTTCTCCTAACTCACTTTCCCCTGCCTGGCAGGCAGGCAGGCAGCAGGCAACACCGAGTGGTCAGTCTCTGAAGCATAGACGGCTCATTAGCGCACAGTGAGCATCTGAGAAGGCCCCAATTAGGTCTCCCTGACAGGGGCTCAGTGGGAGGAAAATGCGAGACAAATGACGCATCCAATTAAGGGAACGAAGAGAAAGAGCCCATCTGCCCAGTTGCCAGCGCTGCCACTGGGTTACCGCACAGCAGGCCTGAGGGCTTCACTCGCCCGTGGCCTCGAACTACATTGGATTTGGCTATGCCCGGGGCAATCACAATTCCTGATCTCAAGGCTTCAGGCTCATCCAGGGCTTGCTTCTGGCTCCCCCTCCCGCCAAGCAGGGGTGTCCCAGGGACAAGCAAAAGGAGGCAGGCAATGAAAGGGCGAGAGGTTGGGACTCCTGCTCAAAATGGCCCAGGGATTGGAGACAGACTGGTCAAAGGTGGGCTCAGGGAAGGGTGGTGCTAGGCAGAGCTAGGGGAAGTGTGTCTGGAGGGGCATGGGGGGGTTAGTATTAAGGGCCCCCCCCCCAGTGTCCCTGCCCACAAACTGTAGTTAGCAGCATCCTGGGCAACCAGCCTCCTTGAGTGGGCAGCGAGCATGTTACCCTGCTGTCACTGATGCCCTCATGATCTGCAGCCAGAGCTTTGTCAGGGATGCTGGAAAGGAGCAACCCCACGATTTTACTGTAGGGGCTGGGCTCAGGTGGAAGAACATGTGGTCCAGCTTACAGCATGGTGCAGGGAGACCACCCACGCGGGGGTCTGCTCCCAGCCTGAGATGAGCCAAGGGGCTCCACAGAGAAAGTAGATTGGCTTTGCTCACACAAGGCCAATGAATGGCCCCTGCCACTAGAATGCAACAAACTTTACTAACGCTGAGTCCAAGGTGTGACAGGCAGTGGGTGTGCAAGGGCTCTCCGTGCCCCAGGTAGGCCCATGCAGACCCAGCATCCCACAGCAGGACCTGCAGCTGCTCTTTTCTTTAACACATAGGGACAGTGCCCAGAGACCCCCGCCGCGCTCTCTCAGGCTGAGCAGTCAGGCTGCCCCTGTGAAAATGGAGTATGTGGGACCTAGAGCCTCCGCAAGCCTCGTTAGAGGACGACTGCAAATGCACATTTGCTGCAGACGGGGCCCAACGAGTAGCTACCCCACTCCTAGTGCAAGGGGAGGAAAGGTTTGGGCATCCCACTCCATCCTTCCTCTCCTGCCCAGCCAATCAAGTCTCTGCACCAGGCCCTCTCTCAGGTACTTTCTGTTCCCTGCTGTTCCCAGCCACTTGCCCAGGTTGCTCACTGCTGTACATTGACAAAGCCCAGATCAGATGACACCAGGTCCCAAACCAACAGAGAGAAAGAAGAACCCAGAGCAGCAAGGAGAGAATTTGCCACTTGGAAAAGCACAAAGCCCCTCACACCCTATGTATCAACAGCAGGAGGGCTCCTAAGGGCAGCAGCACATCAGCCCCCTCCAGTTTCTCCAGGGCTCAGGGGGGAAGCAGACAAGGCGAAGGGAAGGGACCGTGGAGAGGTTTTCAGAGGGATCCTTCTCTCGCCATCAACACGAGTGGAAAATAAAAGGGGATTGAATCCAAGCCCTGATAGTCAGCAGCTCACCTGGCCGGGTAGATGCCCCCATGAGGCAATTTTTAGCTCATTGGTTTGAGCAGTGGCCTGCTAAACCCAGGGTTGTGAGTTCAATCCTTGAGGGGGCCATTTGGGATCTGGGGCAAAAATTGGGGATTGGCCCTGCTTTGAGCAGGGGGTTGGACTAGATGACTTCCTGAGGTCCCTTCCAACCCTGATATTCTAATTTAGGAGGTTAGGACTTGCACCGAAAGCCCATGTTCTCTGGAGAAGAACTGAAAATCCAGGCTAATCAGTTGCAAGCTGCCTTGGTAAATGACACCTCTGCAGTGGCTCTTGCGGTCGGAGGGCTGTGGACGGAGCTAATAGGAAAATCATTAGGTGGCATCCCTTTGATATCGCCTTTTTTCTGCCCCCACAATAATTAACCCAGCATATGACCCATAATGCTCCAGGCCTACATTCCCACAACAGACCACTTGTCACTCGCATCGGTGGAGGAGGAGGAGATGACCGATGGGAGGAAGGCACTGCCTGGAAAAAGCTTAAAAGCTTTAGGGGGCGGGAAAAAAAGAGAAAACTAATACATCCTCCCCAA